GAATAGCCCAATTCCTTGTCCAAACAAGATCCAGAATAGTTTATTACAATTGTTACTTCTCTGAGGTGCTGTCAAGGTTCTTTCCCCACTCTGAACTCTAGGGTACAGATGTGGGGACCTGCATGAAAAACCTCCTAAGCTTATTTTTACCAGCTTAGGTTGTACCTTGGGAAGTTTTAAACTATTTTACCTTTTGCCCCTGGACTTTATTGCTGCCACCACCAAGCGTCTAACAAATATATAACAGGGAAAGAGACCGCTTGGAAACGTCTTCCTCCTGCTCAAAATCCTCCCAAACCCTACACCCCCTTTCCTGGGGAAGGCTTGATAAAAATCCTCACCAATTTGCATAAATGAACACAGACCCAAACCCTTGGATCTTAAGAACAATGAAAAAGCAATCAGGTTCTTAAAAGAAGAATTTTAACTGGAAAAAAAGTAAAAGAATCACCTCTATAAAATCAGAATGGTAAATACCTTACAGGGTAATCAATTCAAAACATAGAGAATCCCTCTAGGCAAAATCTTAAGTTACAAAAAGACACAAAAACAGGAATATACATTCCTTTCAGCACAACTTATTTTTATCAGCCATTTAAACAAAACAGAATCTAACGCATATCTAACTAGATTGCTTATTAGCCCTTTACAGGAGTTCTGACTTGCATACCTGCTCTGGTCCCAGCAAAAACAACACACAGACAGAGAGAACCTTTTGTTTCCCCCCCACCCCCTCCAGCTTTTAAATTATCTTGTCTCCTCATTGGTCATTTTGATCAGGTGCCAGCAAGGTTATCCTAGCTTCTTAACCCTTTACAGGTGAAAGGGTTTTTCCTCTGGCCAGGAGGGATTTAAAGGTGTTCACCCTTCCCTTTATATTTATGACAGGTGCATAAAATTTAAAGCCTACCCAAGCTGCAATTTCAGCAAAGAATCGACGCACTACTGAACAAGTTGACTTCCATAATCACACTGAGTTCTGAGAGCAGAAAGTAGGAGCTCTAAGGGCATATATTACTCTCCTAGAAATAGCACTTCCCAGTAGTACTGTTCCATTGGAAATTAATTTTCTTTTTTTCTTCCTCAATTTGACTTTTTGATACTGTAGCCAAGGGGAGCTCGACTACACACTTGTTCATTTTATATTTTTGTAGATGTCAATCGAAAAAGGAAAAAAAGCTGTCTTTCAAGATCCTTTGTTCATTGGAATGTGCCCTATTCTGATCCAACATAGGGGAAGCACACTTCCCTTAACAATACACTTGGAAATTTAACTCTGCCCTTCACCACGTCCCACATCTTTCTCTGAACCTTTCAGAGTGATCTTCAGCCCAGCAAACCATTCCACAATCTTTAAGTGAAATATTAATGCAACTGAACATCTTACCATTACATTCAAGTCTGCAGAAAATGACCCCAAGTCAGGAATGAAATGCACAGAAAATACTTGCACAGGTGTACCATAAGCTAAATTAACAGTAACCATGTTATATTTTCATCATGTAAATGGCCTTGTGTGATAGATCAGTGTTAATAATAATAATACCTTGCTCTTATACAGGACTTTTCATCTGTAGATGTCAAAGCATTTTACAAAGGAGGTCAGTGTCATTAGCCCCATGTCACAGGTGAGGAAGCTGCAGCATACAGAATTGACATGACTTGCCCAAGATCACCCACCAGGCCAGTGGCAGAGCCAGGAATAGAACTCCTGAGTCCCAGTCCAGAGTGTTACATATAATTCATAATCACAGAATCGTAGGACTGGAAGGGACCTCGAGAGGTCATCTAGTCCAGTCCTCTGCACTCATGGCAGGACCAAGTATTATCTAGACCAGGAATTGGTAACCTTCCTGTCAAGGAAATCCGTTGGCGGGCCGGGACGCTTTGTTTACCTGCAGCGTCCGCAGGTTTCGGTTGATCACAGCTCCCACTGGCCACGATTCACCGTTCCAGGCCAATGGGAGCTGTGGGAAGCAGCAGCCAGCAGATCCCTCAGCCCATGCCGCTTCCCGGATGGGCCATGCACCAAAGGTTGTCGATCCCTGATCTAGGCCATTCCTGACAAGTTTTTGTCTAACCTGCTCTTTAAAATGTCCAACGATGGAGATTCCACAACCTTCCTAGGCAATTTATTCCAGTGCTTAACCACCCTGACAGTTAGGAAGTTTTTCCTAATGTCCAACCTAAACCTCCCTTGCTGCAATTTAAGCCCATTGATTCTTAACCTATCCTCAGAGGTTAAGAAGAACAATTCTTCTCCCTCCTCCTTTTATGTACTTGAAAACTGTTATGTCCCTTCTCAGTCTTCTCTTTTTCAGACTAAACAAACCCAAGTTTTTTAATCTTCCCTCATAGGTCATGTTTTCTAGGCCTTTAATCATTTTTGTTGCTCTTCTCTGGACTTTTTCCGATTTGTCCACATCTTTCCTGAAATGTGGCACCCAGAACTGGACACAATACTCCAGTTGAGGCCTAATCAGCACAGAGTAGAGCGGAAGAATTACTTCTTGTGTCTTGCTTACAACACTCCTGCTAATACATCCCAGAATGATGTTCGCTTTTTTTGCAACAGTGTTACACTGTTGACTCATATTTAGCTTGTGGGCCACTGTGATCTCCAGATCCCTTTCTGCAGTACTCCTTCTTAGGCAGTCATTTCCCATTTTCCCATTCATATTTCACATTGTGCAACCTCAGGGCTGTTTTAACTTGTGCTGGCAATAACTGACTGTTAGGATATAGATATTCAGGCCTGTCTGTAAAGGCCTATACTCTAAGAGTTTAGGTGTATTCTTATCACTTAGCTAGTTATAAAGGTATAAAAGAAAGAATCAAAATCACTGTCTGCCGGTGTAAGGGCCTTCTCCTACTGTGACAGTCTGAGGCCCTGTTCTTAGGCTAAGGCCTTTGGCTAAGCAGCAGAGGCAGCCCATAAGCTGGGAAGCGAATGGTCACATCCTCACATTCCAACCTAGTCACATTCAAATAAGGTGCTATTGGGCTGTTAGGAATACAATCCTGTCCTGATAATGCCTATCGCCTCCAGAGAAAGGGAAGTGCCTAGAAGATGGAAAAGGAAACTTAGTTTGATAGCATCCGGTCTGGCAAGAACTCACTTATCAATAGCTGGGATGTGAAATTCTCATTTCTTTGTTGTTCTATCACTGTAGTCCCCATTTCCCTACTGTTTGTCTGTATAATCTCTGTCTGGTTCTGTGATTGTTTCTGTCTGCTGTATAATTAATTTTGCTGGGTGTAAACTAATTAAGGTGGTGGGATATAATTGGTTAAATAATCATGTTACAATATGTCAGGATTGGTTAGTTAAATTTCAGTAAAATGATTGGTAAAGGTATAGCGAAGCAGAACTCAAGTTTTACTATATAGTCTGCAGTCAATCAGGAAGCGTGTGGGTGGGGGAAATGGGAACAGGGAATGGGGGTGGGGAAATTGGAATCATGTTTAGCTAAGGGCAGGAATAGGAACTGGGACACAGGTAAGGCTCTGTAGTGTCAGAGCTGGGAAGGGGGACACTAAGGAAGGAAACTGGAATCATGCTTGCTGGAAGTTCACCCCAATCACCATCAAATTGTTTGCACCTTTGGACTTCAGGTATTGTTGCTCTCTGTTCATGTGAGAAGGACCAGGGAAGTAAGTGGGTGAAGGAATAAGCCCCCTAACACTGACTACTAGGGGTCATTCTGAGCGTCTGGGATTGCTGAAATGCCGTGTTCTCTGGCACTTTCCCTCATACACCAGCATGCCCCCTAAGTTGGGTAGAGATGGGGTGACACCAGAAGCAGAGGAATATAGGACGGGTCATACCAGTTTTACTCCAGCCATGGATTCCTGTATGCAAGGGGAATCTCTAGCTGCCTGTTTAAGCCAGCTTTTTGCTCCCTTTGCACTGCCAACGTAATGGGAATGACACACAGCTAAGAATCCTGTCCACTATCTCTGACATGGTGGCTGGTTGAAAGGGTCAGAGGGGAGAAAGGTAACATTCTAGAAATAGAAAGTTGTTCTTCATTGTAACTGAACCCAACTGATGCCTATCTAGTCTAGTTGTTGTTGAATGTCAGATTAGATATGCCATGAATATGCTTTTTGTTGTGTTGTCACAGGATTTTCAGTCTCCATTCTTATTAAAAGATAGATTCATTCATTATAATTAATCTGAATTTTTGACTGTTTGGAGATAAAGCCACCATGGTACATCCTGGAAGGAAAAGCAACCTTCTGACCTCTTGTCAAGCTATTGTTTCTCCAATTGAGAACACTCATTTTAGGCAGCCCCGTAATGAGTACTACCCAGATCCTGGTTGTGGTCAGTAACTGCACAGGAAAAGTTGACTGAGTGGTGGTAGGAATAGGGGATCTCACATTTTACTTTTCCCTTGAAAAGCAGAATTGCATGCATCTGACATTAGAAAACACGAAGGCCAAGATTTTCAGAAGTGACTAGGGATTTCGGGTACCTCCATTTTTGGATGCCCAGAATGAGGCACCTTCAAGAAGTGGGAGCTCAGCATTTTGTGAAGACGAGGCCTCTTAAATGTGCTATAAGTTGAGCACCCAAAATCACTAGTCACTTATGAAAATATCAGAACAAATACAAAGGAGCTACATTCGAACTCAGAGTCATTTTTTAATCAGTTTAGGATTTTTTGGATTGGTCTCCCTCCCCCCACTTTCTGCACTGCTGAATCTTCTGCAAAGCTGCAGAATAGCGAACGCTGACATATAATTGGCCTTCTGTGGTACAAGAACTAGAGCATTATTTTCTTGCTATTTATATTTCCATTCGGTTTATCTTTCAAGACAGGGAAGTGATTTAAATGATAACTCCCTAAAGTAGACAGGACAGTAGAAGCTGCTACTCTCTGTAAAGAAGCTGGATTTTTATTGCTTCCAGGCCCACATATGCATGCTTAGGACCGTCTATAACGTTCAAAGGTGATAATAAACAAGATAATGTACTCTAAACAATTACTTACTGCAATTTTCCACAAGGTCAAGAGCAACATTCGTAGCAATATCCATCCCAGTGTTTATGTATGACTGGCAGTTTTTCAGAGACGATAGAGAAGAATCCACACAGTTGAACGAAATCACTGAACCCCCAGGCATCTTGAAATAATTCCCTTGGAAATAACAGAAAAGGGGTTCTAGAGATAAAGCGTTTGGAAAAAGAAACAGAAGTACAAATATCCAACTTAAAGTCCCAACAGCTCGAATCACATGTTGAAGAGCAGGGGTGAAATCCTGGCCCCACTGAAGTCAATGGAAGCTTTGTCATTGACTCCACTGGAGCCAAGATTTCACCCCAGATACACCAAACATCTATGGTGCAATGCAGAACAGCATTATACTGCAGAAAGTGGCTTGTGGCTTTCATATTCTCGTGCACACTGCTTCACTAAAGGTAAAATGCCCACTGATTATAAGGGCTGTTCTGACAAACAGGCAGCCCTCAGAAGAAACAGACTAACAATTGTCACTTATTTAGAGACCATCAAACAAAGGACAGGACTCTGTCCCAAGAATGCATTCACTAGTAAAATTACCCAATTCCTACACTGGAAAAGAGTGATGTGTCTCTATTACCAAAAAGGTCACAAAAGTAACACTGCAGCTCTACCACCAGCAGCCTAGCACTCTCACTGATTCGCTGCCTTCCCTCTGTTGGTACATTGGCTGCCACACCAGCTCCTAAGGGACTTTTCCCACCTGTAATGGGATTGCTTGCTCCTACAGTTACGCACCATTGCTCGTCTATAAGTTAATTGTCTGTTTTCCAACCTGAAAAGTTCCAGTCTTTTTAATCTCTCCTCGTACGGAAACTGTTCCATACCCCTAATCATTTTTATTGTCCTATTTTGTACCTTTTCCAATTCTAATATATCTTTTTTGAGATGGGGCAACTAGACCTGCATGCAGTATTCAAGATGTGCATATATCATGGATTTATATAGAGGCATTAATATATTTTTGTCTTATTATTAAGGTTAAGATTTTGTCACAGAAATTTTTCATCAAAGTCACAGACAGATCACAGGCAATAAGCAAAAATTCACGGAAGCCAGTGACCTGTTCATAGGGGAGGGGAACTGAACATTCCAAGCCCCATCAGGAGGGCAGGAGTGGCTGAGAGCTGCTCCAGCCCTCCCGCTGCAGCTGGGCTGATGCCAAAGAAGTCTCGGAGGTCCACTAAAGTTACGGAACCTGTGACCTCCATGACAGAATCATATCCTTACTTATTATCTATCCCTTTTCTAATGGTTCCCCAATTTGTGTGTCATCTGTAGGGCCCTACCAAATTCACGGCCATGAAAAACACATCACAGACCATGAAATCTGAGATCTCCCCCCGTGAAATTAGGTCTTTTTTTGTGCTTTTACCCTACACTATAAGGATTTCACAGGGGAGACCAGCGTTTCTCAAATTGGGGATCTTGACCCAAAAGAGAGTTGCTGGGGGGGTTGCAAGGTTATTTTAGGGGTGTCACAGTATTACCACCCTTATTTCGGTGCTGCCTTCAGAGCTGGACAACCAGAGAGCGACGGCTATTACCAGGCGCACAGCTCTGAAGGCAGCGCCCTGCCAACAGCGGCAAAGAAGTAAGGGTAGCAATACCATACCATGCCACCTTTACTTCCACACTGTTGCCTTCAGAGCTGAGCGGCCAGAGGGTGGGGCTGCTGACTGAGGGCCCAGCTCTTGTGCTTTTACCCTACACCATACAGATTTCACAGGGGAGACCAGCGTTTCTCAAATTGGGGGTCTTAACCCAAAAGAGAGTTGCGGGGGGGGGGGTCACAAGGTTATTTTAGGGGTGTCACGGTAGTACCACCCTTATTTCAGTGCTGCCTTCAGAGCTGGACAACCAGAGAGCAGCGGCTATTACCAGGCGCCCAGCTCTGAAGGCAGCACCCTGCCAGCAGCAGCACAGAAGTAAGGGCCCAGCAGCAGTGCAGAAGTAAGGGTAGCAGTACTGCAACCCCCTTACAATAACCATGTGACCCTTCCCCTCCCCGCACAACTCCATTTTGGGTCAGGCCCTCTACAATTACAACACTGTGAAATTTCAGATTTAAATAGCTGAAATCATGAAATTTACAATTTTTTAAATCCTATGACCATGAAATTGACCAAAATCGACTGTAAACTTTATCAGTGATGATTTTAGGTTTTCTTCCATGTCATAGATAAAAATGTTAAATAGCACAGAGCCAAGAACCACTCCCAGGGAGACCGCACTGGAAACATAACTGCTTGATGACAATTCCGCAGCTACAGTTACATTTTGAGACCTATCAGTTAGCCAGATTTTAATCCATTTAATATTTGCTATGTTAATTTTATATGCTTCTAGTTTTTTAACAAAAATGTTGTATGGTGCCAAGTCCAATGCCATACAAAAGTCTAAGTATATTACATCAGCACTATTACCTTTATCAACCAAATTTATAAACCCATCAAAAAAAAGATATCAAGTTAGTTTGAAAAGGAGTACTTGTGGCACCTTAGAGACTAACCAATTTATTTGAGCATGAGCTTTCGAGCTGTAGCTCACGAAAGCTCATGCTCAAATAAATTGGTTAGTCTCTAAGGTGCCACAAGTACTCCTTTTCTTTTTGCGAATACAGACTAACACGGCTGTTACTCTGAAACCTGAAGTTAGTTTGAGAGGATCTATTTTCCATAAACCCATTTTAGCACCTTATGGCTAGAAACTTCTTTTTTATTTTACATGAACATTTAGATTCTGCAGAATGTATCAGTACCCAGCTGCCCCATGACTCAGTTTCCCCATCTTTAAAACAGGGATAAAAAAAAAAAAAAGACCTTTGCAACACACTTTGAGATCTACGGATGAAAAATGCCAAGTATCCCTGATACTCCCAAGGCCACCCTCCCAGACACTCAGTGCTCCCCTTTGTCAGGGCCAGAGGTTGCCTGTCAGTTATTGTCCTAGTGCTGATCCCCCCACCACCCTGGGGTGGGTTTCCAGGTGAAACATGCCAAGCAAAGAGCTGTGCTATCTCGGCCTTCACTTCACATCTTGGGGCCACACCACAGCATCCCGCTGGCAGGCACAGAGGTGGCAGTAGGGCCACCACTAGGCTGCCCCAGGCCAGAGGGAGCTGCAAACGCCTCAGGGGCAACATATGCACCAGGTTTGGGAGCATCCACACTGAGACTAACCTCACTGGGTAACATCACGCACGCACACGCACACGCACACTCCATCCACCCAGCTAAAGCGGAGTGCTTGAGGGGAGGCCCATCGGCCTCTCGCCCATTGCTGGCAGCTTCTCCCTCCCCACCAGGGAGCCTCCCGCCAATCCCTGCCCGGGCGGGGCGCCCGCAAGGCATCAGCCCCCCTACCTGGTGCCGGGGGCTCAGGCCCTGCCTGAGGCGGCTCCGCCGGCAGCAGGCCGCGCTCCCCTCCGGCCCTATAGGAACCGCCGCCGCCGCCGCCACGGGAGGCGCTGACGCTCCACGGCGCAGGCGGGCACCGAGCAGGAACCGACTCATCAGCCGGCGCCCGGGCACATGACCCAGGGCCCCTGGCGTCGGCTGGGCGGGCCGCTGCGCCGAGGGCTTCCAGCCTGCGGCGTCCGGGCCTCCAGAAATCGCCTGCGAGTGGCCTGGCCCGGGGGAAGCCCAGCGCCTTTCTGGGCGAGGAGGGAGCCCGGCTGGCACGGTAAGTGCGGGGGGTGCCTTGGCAGGCCCAGGGCATTCTTGGGGAGCTCCTATTTAGGGTGGGGGTGGGGAAGCAGGAGCTCTGCCGCACCCCCCGGGAGCGGGGGGTGTTGTGATTTCGGAGGGTGGATGGCTGAGGGTTAATTCCGGGGCGCTGGGTAATGCTGGGGCGAGGGGGTGCTGGGGCTGTGTCTTCTTCCAGGGAACGCCCTGGGTGGGGGGCCGGCTGTGATGGTGGGAGGGTGACGGTGTCATTTTGCGGGTGTTGTTTCCTGGGTAGGAGGGTAGGTTGTGTTTGTGAGGCACTCGGGGCATTTCTCTGGTGGGGAGGCTAGAGCGCGAGTACCTGGGACTCGTAGGGTTGCCAACCGTCCAGGATTGTCCAGAGCCTCCAGGAAGTAAAGATTATGTCATGTGATGGCAAGGACTCTGGTGGCATTTTATTTGTTGTTTTTGTGGATACAGACTAGCGCGGTTACCCCCTGACGCTTGTCATGTGATGAAAACCTCCAGGAATATGTCCAAGCAAAATTGGCAACCCTGCCTGGGACATGTGGGTTTGGGGTGAAGGGAAATTGGTAAATGCCAGTGAGGGTGGGAGATGTTTGTTTCATTGCACAAGCCGGAGGTAACGAGTGGGATGAAAGCCAGTGAGTTCTTCAGTATCTCCTTGAAACATACTGTACAAAAGTCATTGACTGCTAAAAGGAGCCTTTAATATTAGTCCAAAATGAGGGCCTATCTCTGTCCCTGTAAGTAAGACTTAACCACTCTGCAAGTTACTTATTTTGGACCACCAACTGTCTTCTTGAGTTTGAAATATTTTAATTTGACATTCATTTAAAATCAAAAAACCATGTTAGACTGATGAACTGCATTTTTGGAGGGTAGGGTGAGGCATCATTTAAGGCCCAGTCCTGCTGTCCTTGATTTAGGTCCTGATCCTGCAATAAGCATGGCATGGGCAAACTTCTGTAGCCAGGTAAAACTCATTCTAGGGCTGTGTACTTAAACAGGAGAAAGATTGGGCCCTTATTAGGTATGCTGTGGCAGAGTGCGTTTAAAGGGGAAGCTGTCAACTTAGATTTAGCTCAACATTTTTTTAAAACAAGCTTTTATGAAACCTAAAATCAATACGAACATTTCCACAGATGTTTTAAAAAATGAAAATAGTTGCCTTTGGCATTGCTGCACTAAATATCTCCTAGGGAAAGTGACCACAAATAAAAGCGAAACTCACTTTGTTGATTTCCTTTGTGCAAGCTGAGAGACATGCAAAAATTAAACAGATTGTTTGTCTCAAGGCTGCAAACAGTCAATTAATTTTGATTTCTTATTCATAATTTACATATGATTGTAGTGATTGAAACTATATGAAAAAGGAAGTGATTGGACAGTTGTAATTTTTGGGGTCTTTTTAACTGGATACAATTAAGATTCCTGACTTGGAGAGAGATCGCTATGACCTAGAAGTGCGACCACAGTTGAAAAGGTGTCTGTGTAGCAATGAATATGCTCAAATAAATTGGTTAGTCTCTAAGGTGCCACAAGTACTCCTTTTCTTTTTGCGAATACAGACTAACATGGCTGTTACTCTGAAACCAATGAATAAATGATTGACCCTGAGCTGCAGTTAGCTCTCATTCATCTAAATGTTTATCCACTTTGCTGTAGCACTTTTGGTTGTGTTGTTTTATAGATCTAAGGTGGCTGTGCTATTCTTAACTCATTTTATAAAGTACTAGCTTGTGTCAGTATCTTGCTTCTTCTGCTTGGCCTGTCATCTGCTTTGATCATTTTGCCTTTTAGCAGCTCTCCAGAAATCTTTTGGTAAAGATTGTGCTTAGATAAGCTATTACCAACAGGAGAGTGGGTTTGTGGGGGGGAAGAAAACCTGGATTTGTGCTGGAAATGGCCCAACTTGATTATCATACACATTGTAAGGAGAGTGATCACTTTAGATAAGCTATTACCAGCAGGAGAGTGGGGTGGGGGGAGAGAAAACCTTTTGTAGTGGTAAACACCCATTTTTTCATGGTTTGTGTGTATAAAAAGATCTTTTTTACTTTCCACAGTATGCATCCGATGAAGTTGAGCTGTAGCTCACGAAAGCTTATGCTCAAATAAATTGGTTAATCTCTAAGGTGCCACAAGTACTCCTTTTCTTTTTGCGAATACAGACTAATACGGCTGTTACTCTGAAACCTGTCATTGTGCTACAGTTTCTCATCTGATCTTGGAGTTGTCTTAGCTAAGTGCTGTATATATGCGGAAGATTACACTACAGTGTTTATTTTTCATCTGCCATCTACTCTCTGTTGCTGGGGTATATAGAGTTCTATAACTACAGTTTTTCTAGAGTTACTTTAATATCTATAGATTGAGCCATTTAAAATGTGCTGAATGTGTGGATTTTTTGTTTTTACAGGTAATTTAGATGGCGCATGTAGTTTTCCAGTTAGACTTCTTTCTCCAAATGACTTGAAGATTGAAACTCAAAAACAGACTGCAATAATATCACTACTCTGTCACAGTCATCTTCAGGATGGTTGATTTTCTAGCTGAAAACAATCACTGTGGCCAGGCAATTCTTCGGATTGTCTCTTGTGGAAATGCCATCATTGCAGAACTTTTGAGACTGTCTGAGTTTATTCCTAGTGTTTTTAGGCTCAAAGACAAGGCTGATCAACAGAAGTATGGGGATATCATATTTGATTTCAGTTACTTTAAGGTAAATATTACTCTGCCATGTTAAATCTCTCTCTTGAACCATCATTTTCTTACTGGAGCACTATTTCTCTAGGCAGCGTTTCTCAAACTGGCATCTGTGGACCCACACTGATCAACTCCTACCCCTTCCTACCTCAACTCTGCCCCTCTCTCCCAGCGCCTCTTTCATGCCAGGGACCAGCTGTTCAGTGGCGTGCAGGAGGCTCTAGGAGGGAGCAGGAGGAGCGGGGATGGGACGCACTTGGGGGAGGGGGTGGAATCATGTCTGGGGCCACTGGCCCCACTGATCAACTCCTTCCCCTCCTTCACAGTGCCTTCTGCATGCCAGGAAACAGCTGTTCCCCGGCATGCAGGAGGCGTGGGGAGGAGCAGGGATGGGGCATGCTTGGGGAAAGAAGTGGGGAAGAGGAGGGGCAGGGGTGGAGTAGTTGTGGGAAGAGCTGGAGCCTTGGGGGAAGGAGTGAAGTGTGGGCGGGACCTGGAGCTGAGTCGGGGTTTGGGGGTCTGCGAAAAATTTTAAATCAAAGTGGGGGTCCTCAGGTTGCTGAAGTTTGAGAACCGCTGCTCTAGGGTGTTTTAGCCTGTTCGTATGCATGTGTTAAACCTGCCATTCTTGAGTAATTAATTGTGTTAAACTCTTACATTTGATAGTAATTAATAAAATTATATTTTATGCTGAATTTGGTATTGGCAATAAATTCACCCAAAGTGAGGTTACAATTTGGATATGCCTGCACATTTAGCTCTTTATTGTTTGAGTGAACTAAATCCAAAAACCTCATGTCACACCTTTTCCCCTGTCTTGTTTATTCCTGTGAGTCAGAAACAGAGTATAGTCTAGATCTTGTGTTTGGACAACAGGAATTTGATTTTTAATTCCATTGGCTCTATCGGATTATTTGAAAGGAGGATGTAAGGGGAGAAAAAAGGGATGGTATAAAATGCACACTTGAATAAGAAATCCCAAAATACACCCTTTTTGAAAAGGTTGTTGGGTTGTCCCAGCTGAAAAAGTGGAATTAGGCCTTTTTAATTATCTGAAGGACAGTTTCGTACTTAAAATCTCACTTTCAACAGGACGATCAAATTCTGAGCATGTCAACAATGGCTGTCTCCCTTCAAGTAGTATCATGAGATTCCTGATGCATTTCTGGTTGCCTTAACCCTGTTCTCTATCTTCTGCTGCATTGAAAGCTACCTTTATATAACTTCCTTTTAATAACAATTCTGTGGTGGTTCGTTCTCCATTAGATCTGTTCACATGTGCTGATCTAACAAGCATATGCAGGATCAGTGGCCAGAGAGGATCCCTTTTTTCCCTTCCTGGGTTTAACTTCTGAAAGTGCTTTCACTTTGCTGTTTTTCAGGACAGTTTGGGAAGGGATCCTCACAGTGACTAATTTGCCTTTCTGTTTCTGAGAATTGTACAGTAAGAGACCTCTGATCACGTAATGGTATTTTATAGAAAGAGTGGTGAGCTCTGAGCATTGGATGGGGAATCGGGAGCTCAAATTCTAATCCCATTTATGACCTCATTTTCCTCAGTGCCTACGGGAGACTGAGGCACAAATAGATTTAAAGGCACATCATCAATTTGGAAATCATGCTTTTTGTCTAAAATCCATAGTATACAAGTAACATCTAAAATCACTATATTTGAAAGAGATTTGAGATTAAAAATTGTTTGTTTACTTTGTGTAATATATGCTGTCAATTTCACTGCTTTACCTGTATTGTCAGTCAGTCCTTGTGTCCTGCATGTGTGGATCTTTCACACAGGACCAAGAGAAAAAGAAATATTTTAAAAACTCACAAAAATTGCCATGAGGATCTAGGCAGCTGTCAGACTTCAAATATATTTTTAAGTTACTTATTTTATAAAGTTCAAGGTGGCAGCACCCTTTGCAGTTGTTTCCTCTCTTCCCTTCCATCTGTAAAATGCGTACCTACTCTACAGGTTTATTTTGAGGAATAACATGAGGCCTGGGCCTGCCAACACACCCATAGTTCTGCTGCCTTCAAAGAGATAATATGCATTAGAAAAAACTAATTATGTGAGCTGCTGTTTGCAGAATCTTG